ATGATTCCTGTTGATTATTAAGATATTATTAAAGATACTGTCAATATAACTTAGAAATAGTCTGTACTAAAATAATCGATGTTAAAATCATACAAACGATGTTCTAATATACATGTGAAAATCGGATGCACCTCTGTTTAATGGAGTAGAGTTTTTTTATACAATAAATATATACAATAAATTAATTTTACCTTTGCCCGAATCGCTGTTGCGAATGACGACTTCGTCTTTGCAATAATTTTTCCCCGGTATGCGCGTAGGTTTTGTGAATTTTCCGCTATTCTTGATCACTTCACCGGGTCCCAAAATCGGCGTTGAAGTGGGTGAAGTCATCGCCAATAACGGGGACGACAGAGAGTTTGTAGGTATATCAGGGACTGCCTCGGTCTGCTAATAAAATGTTAGATTGTTTGATCTAAATGTTAATCAATATAAAAAATATTAATTTTATAGATATTTTAATACACACTATAAATCGAGACGATCAGAGTAAGGTTTAAAATTTTACTATAATAACGATAATTGTAAAAAACTTTTGAGAGAAAGTGCTTGTTTTCAGCAAGTGTGACTTTTTTTTTTATATATATCTACCTTTTATTTTTAGCATCTTAATATAATAATTTCAGGAAACTATATTAAAGTGATAAATGAAGGTTTTAACCTACATTATCTAGATGTGACAACTTTTGCATGTAATACACGTCCATCGAATCGGTATGACGCCATTGTTTCGCTCGCAGTTCGATGAGTTCCAGCAGATGAACCCTGGTCGTCAGATCTAATCTATCGTCCTGGCTCCCATTTCTGATCGCCACAAAAGCTCGGTCTAGCTGATCTAAAGAAAATAATAATTATTGATAAAATCAATTCTTACATTAACAATCTAAATAATAAATATAACCGGCTTACGATTGTTTCCGCTTTTTACAAAATAATGATCGGCAAGATAAAGTTAAGCAATAAATCAGAAGAAATTTTTCTATTCAAAAAACTCAAGACAGAGTCCTACAATTTCTATCTACAAACGACTGCTTTTCAGTAGAGCGACTCGGTTATCCGTAGCTATATTAGTAGAGATTCTAGACTCAATGCAGTTTTAACGTTTTTATCAGTTTGGCGATGCTTCATTATATCGAACAGGAATCAATGGCAATATATATATATATATCTATTATTTATCTATTTATATTTATACTAATACATTTATACAAATGTAAACATATTTTGAGAATACAGAAAGCAAAGCACAGAATAAATTATAAACATATACATTCATTACTCAACTCATATTTTATAATGAACAATAAGTAAGGAATAGCGAGCTAATTAAGAGCCTGGCGCGGTAAATAATGCGCGAATTAATTTTTATATATATTTCTTGTTTATTGTGATAATGGACGTTTCGGTTCTAGTATTTGGACCATTCTCAGTAAATATTTGATATATAATTGGAATATAATTTAATGTAAATGTACATCAAATAGAATAAAAAAAAAAAAAAAAAAAAAAAGAAAAAAAAAAATCGTTTTAGGTTTGCGTCTTTGACGAGAGAGTGTTTGGCTAGTATTTAGAAAGTTTATTTTAAATATCGCTCCGCGCCCCACCCTCTTCTTTCGGATGTGCGGACTTGCATTACATCTCTTGCGTGGCCGATTGAAGAAATATTATATGTAGCATATATTCGGGTTAACCGATATGTACATCTTATTGAAAAAAAAAAAAAGGAAAAAAAGAAAAAACAAAATAAATTCGATATATAATAACATATCATTTACCTTTGTAAATAGCTTCTAATTGGTTGGCATAAAGCTTCAGATGACTGCACATAGAAATCACATTCATTTGCAGCGTTCGATCATGGAAGCCATTGGTCAGTTGCATGGCAACATTGTCGATTAAGGATACTATATCCTCTACTGAAAGATGAGAAGAAATAAAGTTTGGTCATCATTTACCTGATACGAGAAAGAAAAATTGTTACACAAACAAATTGTTACACACACATACATAAAATGTATCTACACGTATTCCTAATAAGTTTACATAAAAATATAACTATGTTTCTGGGTGAAACCATCATTTAAGGAGAATTCAAATTTTACTCGACAGGAAAATAAGTAACGAAAAATTTACCAGTCGTGATCCGCCCATCGACGGTCGGGTTGCGCTGATTAAGCTTAAGCGGCCGTGGTTTTTCAAGCTTCTTTATAGTCCTGGCTCTGTTCAACTGTGCGGTAGCCATATTACAATCTTGCAACAAGAATATTATATCAAATGCAATAATCAAACGCAATCCAAATTATGATATTATTTAAAATGCTGGAAAAAAATTAATATGTATATTAACGGATATATTATTCGAGAGAGAAAGAGAGGGTGAAAGATATTATTCTCTATTAATGTTATATTTAATATTATAGTACCATAAATCAGTATTTTCTATTTAATATGACATTGTATTATATGAAGATAAAGTATTATAGAGAACCTCTCTAAATTGAACTTTTGTTTTCGTGGAATTAATATCTCACGCTATGCCACAATCTTCCATAAACTCATTTTTTCCATACGGCACAATTCATTAATTAAGCAATAGGAGGATCCATGATGTCATTCGCTTCGTTCCAAAATCTTTGCTCGTGAAACATACCAATGCCAACAACGGTGAGTTACTTCGCTGAAACGATCGACGATAATGAAAATAATTTACACGACGTTCGAGTGACGGCATTTTCTCTCCGTCGTATATAAGGAGGATGAAATACATGGCAAAATAAAGAATCAGCATAAAGAAGCACTGGTAGAATTTAAAATTTTTGCACCATCTCCATAAAAAAAGAATATATGTATTTATTGCATTTCTCTCTCTCTTTCCTTTTCTCGATTAAACGAATACGGAAAAATTTATATAAATTTCTTTACGTATATTTATGTATGAGATAATTATATATATATTTTTTTAATATAATTATATCCTTCAATATATTACACGGAACGAAATCGCGGTCCACACCCGCACTACATCGCAGCATAGTGTATGCACTAGTGTATACTAAAGGCTGCTATATATAAAGTATCTAAATGCAGTGGCATTATATACATATAAACATTTTGATGATAAAATAATTAACATATGTTCTGTCAAATAACATGAAAATGTATTATATTATTGGTTTTAATTCTCTAAAATGTTTATATTTTTTTTTATTTCGATAACTTGACGTATAGCGCTCTTTAGTATACGCTATATACATACACCAAAATAAAAAGTATACGAATTGATTCGAGAAATTTCAGTTAAACATATTTTTTTTTATCCGAACAACAGACACGTCTATATCGTACACAAGAAAGAAAGAAGGGAAACGGAGAAAAAGAAAGAGAGATAGAGGGGAACGACAAAAATTCGATAAAGATGTGTGAGAAAAGAAGTAAACATCAATGGTATATACGAGAGAAAAGATAGAAGAACAGAGAGAGATACATACAAACACTCACACACACACTCACATACATATACAGCTGTTTATTTCATCTACATTTTCGTGCACACTTTCTGCGCTTGACATACAATACAATAAATGTATATTTACGATTTGGTGTGAGAGATATATAGATAGATAGATAGATAGAGAGAGAGAGAGAGAGAGAGAGAGATAGAGAGAGAGAGAAAGAGAATATGCATAAAAGCAACTAGATGTATTAGTAACAACGAAAAGAATATTTCTTGCGTTGTGTTTCGTTCTATGCACATATAACACTCATAAATGTACACGACACAATACATGAATATATATATATATATGAATATACTCATTGATGTGTCAAGCAAATTTCAGGGATGAAAAAAAAAATTCTTTATCGAAGTTCTAAATATGGATATCTCCGAATGAAACAACTGCACAAGTTGCAGATAAACAATGCATTTTTGCAATAAACGACAATATCACGGCGAGATACTAAATATAGCAATCGCGTTAGATTTACCTCTCGCGAAATTTACAACTTTGTCGGCCGTCCAAACGGATCAACGACACTGAATACCGAACGATACGTAGATCGTCCGACTGGGGGTCCGTTCCGAGTTACGCATGAAGCGCGTAGACTACATAGAAAGTCGTTCCGATTTAATCAATGCGCACATTGAAAATGCTTTGGTAGCGCTGAGAATTCCCTAGATTGTACTAAGGCCGGTATTCATAGTCTATTCTTATATTCAAAATCGTCTTAAGTCCGTATCAGACTATGCATTGAAAATTAAAAATTGAAGATTAAAGATTGGAATTTGACTAATCAGAACAAAAAAGACTAAAATTTCTTTATTCTGATTGGTCAAATTTTAATCTTGAACCTTGAATCTCAATCTTTAATGCGTAGTCTGATACGGGCTTTAGTGTCGGTCTACAATAGTGATTTAATGTGCTTAATGTGACGACCTACGGCAGCCACAATATCCATTCGATTATTCGTGTTTTGCCATTGTAGAATGCCCTAATGCCGATCTACAATAAGTGGTTTAAGCTCTAAGCCTTAAGAAATTGACTAATCACAATCGAGTATTCTTCTCATACTTGATCGTGATTGGTCAATTACTTAAGGCTTAGGGATTAAATCATCTATTGTAGACCGGCACTTAAGTGTAGTTTTGGGTCGTCTTAAGATCTCATTCAACCAATGAAATGGCGACACAGCATCTTAAGATCATACTTGAGATGATCTTAAATATAAGAACGAATTATGAATACCGGCTTAAACGTACTGAATTCTAAAGGCCCTCACACACAAATTGACATAGCTGCTTATGCATAGCATAAGACTATCTGGACCAATAAGCATGCTATGTAAATCAATATGACGATTTTATTTCGATGCTCATTGGTCCAAACGGTCTTATGCTATGCATATGCAGCTATACCAATCTGTGTGTGAGGGTCTTAAAGCCCGTATCAGACTACGCATTGAAGATTGAGATTGAAGATCGAAGATTGAAATTTGACCAATCAGTGCAAAGAAATTTTAGTCTCTTTTGTTCTGATTAGTCAAATTTCAATCTTTAATCTTCAATCTTCAATTTTTAATGCGTAGTCTGATACGGGCATAAGAGTTCGTTCCCGATAATGGCCCTCGCACACTGGACGCGATGAGCGATATCCAATGAGAGCACTGCTTTTTCGGAAAAGCAGAGCTTTGTTATTGGTTGCAATATAAACGTTAACGGAACCATAATCTATAAATTAAAATATAGTACAATATCGTATGAAATATAGTACATCTTTTTAGTAATAAACAGATTTTATGATAACTGATAACTGTAATCGACAGGAAATCGTTTGTGATTTACAAATATACCAATGTTACGTTTGTGAAAAGATAAATTTTTTAATTACGTGCAAAATAAGTTCATTTTATAATTGTAGTGCGCATGCGCAAAGTATCCTCAGACTTTGAGACGCGTGACAGTTTCCGCCATGCGTTAGGGTAATATTACATTTGTCGTTCGACGAACTTCTTAAGCGCATTAATTAGCTAATTTCTGGAGACTCAAGAAATTTTCTATTTTGCAGCCAATCAGTATGCTTAAAAAGTTTGTGGTACGATAAATATAGTATCATTCTTACTTTTAGCCCGGATCTACAATAAATGTAGTAAGCAGTAAGCTTTAAGCCATAAGAAATTGATTAATCACAGTCAAATGTGAGGAAAAAATTTATTGTTATTGATAATATTTTTACGATTTGAGGCTTAATACACCTATTGTAAATCCGGCCGTACGCGTCGACGCGCTCTCCGTGGGCAGGGCCCCTGAGTATACTTCGCGCATGTGCACTACATTTATAAAATAAACTTATTTTGCACGTAATTAAAAAAATTTATCAATTCACAAATATAACATTAGTATATTTGTAAATCACAAATGATTTCCTGTCAATTACAGTTATCAGTTATCATAAAATCTGTATTACTAAAAAGTATCGGCTGACATTATGACTAAACTAAAATTGTTAATTACTAAAAACCTAATTTATCACAAACGTTAAAAACAGACTCACAATTAATCACAAACGATTTACAAACAAAATACACTTAGAAAAGTTAAAAATAATTATATTTAATAATTTCTACCGGCTAGTGTCATGTAGGTCCCCAATTACCCATAATACAATGCAAAAAATCGATGTGTGAGCCAATAACAGTCTACCTTATTTAGCATCTTTTTTCAATAACGACTGCTCACAAATCGATTATTTGCATTGCATTATGGATAATCGGGGTTCATGACTTAATCTTCTTATATATAATCTTAAACTCCATAAAACTCATCTTTCTTTTTCTACTCTACTCGGCAATAACGAAACTTAAATTGTATCCCGAATTAATTTTATTTTACAGTTTTCAGTTATTGTATTTGTTGTTTACAAATATACATAAAAATGTCAGTCTTATAATATATAATAATAAAATT